AATAGAATTCAGCAGTTATATGTCTGATCTGGAAAACATACAGTATATACAGTACAACCTTTTAGTGATAGTTTGCCTGACTTCAAATGTTTAACACCATTATGTCCACCACTGAGATAATAAACAGATCCAGTTGTTCAGAGGTCATAACCTCCGGTTTCTCTGGAATGTGCTTAGGCATTACCATAGTAGAGCTTTCAGTGACTCTTCCATAGTACCATTCCTCTATGCTTGGCTTTTGGGGCCTATAATTCACGTAATTTTCTGGACCTCCTTCCTGCTGCATGGCTCAGGGAACAACATTTTGTACTCAGGATGGATGCACCCAGCAACTTCTGGTTTCCAGCGACAGGACTTTTCCCGAATGCCCCATTCAGTCAGTATACTTGGTGCTCTTGATGACTCCTTGATGTATTTTTCTGGGGTGATATTCTGTTATTTATTACAGTATGCTGAAATAGGGCCAGTGAATTTTTATTTTCCAATAGTTTTTATTGAAATATCTCAAGTTAAAAATAGTGCAAAAGACAAATGTCATGTTATAAAAGAAGGTGTCGAACATCACCAAAGAACACCTGGTTGAACAAACAACAGACATACCTTAAGAAACCAGAAAATCTGTGCAATAATAAATGGGTAGTTTAAGTAGAAACTTCCCACCATTAAATCCACCATATACAGAGGAAGCAGTGTAAGTGGACTCACAGATCACACAGAACAAGCATTGTAGAAAACATGACAGATGTTGTAGAAGGAGTAGAAAGTAGGCTCAACTAGCACCAGAAAACGGAGAGATTAAAGAGACAGTAAAAAGTGAGAAAAAAAGATAAACAAGAACGAGAGATGAGGTCAAATCTGGAAATATCAAGGCATGGAAATGTATTGAATCCATGGGTCCCACATTTTATCAAATTTGTTAGTATTATTGTGTAGAATACAGGTGAGTCTGTCATTAATCATGATCCAATTAAATTTGTTCTTAATATATTCAAGCGGAATAATTGATCTCTTCCAATATTTGGCAATAGTGATTCTTGCTGCTAGGGCAACGAGCTGCGGGCCCATTGAAAGTCATATAGCCAGTGAATTTTTTGGAAAATTCTACCCACATTTCCCTACATTGGGTTTGGAATTAGTACTCCTCTTTAAAGCAGAAAGAAATACATTGAGACACCATGTTTGAGCAGCACAGTGGCTAAATGGTTAGCACTTCCGCCTGGCGGTACTAGGGTTGTTGGTTCGAATCCCAACCACGGCACCACCTGCCTGGAGTTTGCATGTTCTCCCTGTGCCTGCGTGGGTTTCCTCCCACACTCCAAAGACATGCTGGTAGGTGAATTGGCTCCTGTCTAAATTGGCCCTAGTATGTGTATGTATGAATGTGAGTTAGGGACATTAGATTGTAAGCCCCTTGAGAGTTAGGGACTGATGCGAATGTACAATATATATGTAAAAGTGCTGCGCAAATTGACTGCTCTATATAAGCACCTGAAATAAAGAAATAATAAATAAATGTTTATTGGCAATTAAAAGACTGTGATAGTGTACATAGCATACAGCTGCTCAGAGCTGGAAACTTCAGAGTACCGGAAGTGCCATGTAATACCATACAGATCAAGAATCATATAAAATTCTGCTAAGTAAAACCCTGTTACTCTAATCAGTACAATTATATTATCACTTAAAATAGTGCTGTTGAGTAAAAGCCACAAGCTTTGCTTATGAAATACCCTTTTCTTTTTAGCGAATCCGTTCCCGAATGCACATCAGGGATCATAACACTCCACGTGCCCTAAGTATATCCGTCTCATCAGAAACATCCAAACTAACAGAAGCCGGGTCCTTCCAGGTGACTCGTGGTGAAGTGGTGAGTGTCATCGGAGCTAGCCAATTGGCGTATAATGACAAACAGCAGTCATATACAATTTAATATTATGTAATTATTGACTACTTTTTTATTATGCTGTTGTATTTAATAAGATGAGAATAATGAGCAAGGGATGTTTTGAACCATTTATTCCATGCAGGGTACATTCAAGGTTAATGTGAAGGCTCTAGAGAAGGTTAACGAACAGGATGTTTGTAGTCTTCCAAAACAGGACAAAGCAGGCAACGTCATCCTCAGACCGTCCACATTTACCAATGGCCTGGAGATTGATGCTTCTGTCATATGTGATGTCTGCCCTTGTGAACAGGTAAGTGTGTACAAAATTTACTGTTCACTGAAAAGCATAAAGTGAAGCTTTCCATCCTTCAACCATGTAAAGATAGTGAACCCTATAATTCACTCCACCGGCTTCTTCATATGTACCATTTCTGACCCCAACACGTGCAATGAAGAGTAAATAGTGCGTTACTGATATGTAAAATTTGACTATTTGTCAAAAGTTGACAACTAAGCCTTTATCTCCATGGTATGTAAAGTTTGACTTTTTGTCAAAAGTCAACAACTAAGCCCTCATCTCCATGGTATGTAAAGGTTGACTTTTTGTTAAAAGGCAACAACTAAGCCCTCATCTCCATGGTAGGTAAAGTTTGACTTTTTGTCAAAAGTCAGCAACTAAGCCCTCATCTCCATAGTAGGTAAAGTTTGACTTTTTGTCTAAAGTCAACAACTAAACCCTCATCTCCATGGTATGTAAAGTATGACTTTTTGCCAAAGTTAATAACTAAGACCTCATCTCCATCTCTAGCCTGTTCACCTAGCCACTGATGTATGTAGAGAACAATGACGTAGATATTCACTTATAAGTAAACATTCTAGTGCGAGATTCGTCATTTGTCTCTGTGGATTATGGCTGTCATAAGCTGATGGTTTGAACCCAATTATTACACTCTTTTTGCACTATTTATCACCTATTAGTGAGTCTTGACATTTTTTTACTCAGGCTACCAAACTCATGGCTTACGGACTACTCGGCCGTCATTCATTATGAAAACATTAAAAATCACCATAGCCCCTCTCAGTACCATCTATATTAATCCTTTCTTGGTTTTGGTTTGTTCGAGGCTCATGACTGTTCCTGTCCATTCTTTTTCCATCCATAGCAAAAAGAAACAAATTCTCCCAAGTGCAATCGGAATGGGCACTTTGTATGTGGGCATTGTGAGTGCAAGGATAACTGGTAAGATTAATTCTGGGTTTTATATGGATTTTATCAAACTTGTCTGTCTTTTTGTTGAAGCATATGAATGTAGTTTTTTTTTGTGTGTTGTAGACTTAAAATCTGGGTTTTATAATCAGGGATTACTTCAGCAGATTGTGTTTTGTAATATTCAGAAGTTAGGCCCATTGGAATAATTTTCTGTGCTTTGATAATACAGAAAAATAATACAGCTAAATACACAGATGTAGTATATACACTATATTGCCAAGGGTATTGGGACACCCCTCCAAATCATTGGATTGCAATCGCCTCCATGGCCACAGGTGTATAAAATCAAGCACCTAGGCATGCAGACTGCTTCTACAAACATTTGTGAAAGAATGGGTCGCTCTCAGGAGCTCAGTGAATTCAAGGGTGGTACCGTGATTGGTTGCCACCTGTGCAATAAGTCCATCCGTGAAATTTCCTTGCTACTAAATATTCCATGGTCAGCTGTTAGTGGTATTAAAACACAGTGGAAGCAACTGGGAACAACAGCAACTCAGCCACAAAGTGGTAGGCCACGTAAAATGACAGAGCGGGGTCAGCACATGCTGAAGTGCACAGAAGTTGCCAACTGTCTGCAGTCAATAGCTAAAGACCTCCAAACTTTGTGTGGCCTTCAGATTAGCACAACAACAAGAGTTTCATGGAATGGGTTTCCATGGCCAAGCAGCTGCATTCACGCCTTACATCACCAAGTGCAATGCAAAGCGTCGGATGCAGTGGTGTAAAGCACGTCTAGAGCAGTAGAGACGTGTTCTCTGGAGTGATGAATCACGCTTCTCTGTGTGGCAATCCGATGGACATGTCTGGGTTTGGTGGTTGCCAGGAGAACAGTACTTGCCTGACTGCATTGTGCCAAGTGTAAAGTTTGGTGGAGGGGGGATTATGGTGTGGGGTTGTTTTTCAGGGGTTGGGCTTGGCCCCTTAGTTCAAGTAAAGAGAACTCTTAAGGTATCAGCATATCAAGACATTTTGGACAATTTCATACTCCCAAATTTGTAGGAACAGTTTGGGGATGGCCCCTTCTTGTTCCAACATGACCGTGCACCAGTGCACAAAGCAAGGTCCATAAAGACATGGATGAGCAAGTTTGGGGTGGAGGAACTTGACTGGCCTGCACAGAGTCCTGACCTCAACCCCATAGAACACCTTTGGGAAAAACTAGAGCGGAGACTGCGAGCCAGGCCTTCTCATCTGACATCCGTGCCTGACCTCACAAATGCTCTTCTGGAAGAATGGTCAAACCTTCCCATAGACACACTCCTAAACCTTGTGGACAGCCTTCCCAGAAGAGTTGAAGCTGTTATCACTGCAAAGGGTGGGCCAACTCAATATTGAACCCTACAGACTAAGACTGGGATGCCATTAAAGTTCAGGTGCTTGTAAAGGCAGGCGTCCCAATAATTTTGGCAATATAGTGTATAAAGGAATAGTTTTACCTACCAAAGGATTTGTTTTTCTGTCCTATTCCTGAGATTTATACATTTCTGCTTTAATGACACATTTTGAAAGACTTGTTGTACAAACACCTAGGATAATTTTCAAATCACATAGTCATGTTTTAGTTTTATTTTCAATTAGTTCAATAGTGCAACAATCACTTCTACATTCAATTATTGTATAATATAGTGGTTTGCAACTTTTATTTACAGAGCAAGAGGATAGTTTTAGCTGTTTTGGTTGTAACACCCAGTAGATGCTCAGCACCCTGTAAAGTGCTGTCAGAGTTCAGTGTGTTAAAAGCACTGCTTTAAATACTGATTTTCTTTTGCTTTGTGGATTGTTTTATTTAAATATGGATGTTGTGCTGTCAGAAATTGTTGATCCCACACATAATAAAATACTTGCTGTGTTCTTCTGTTTCACAGGAGAGGGGAGTTCTGCAATTGCTCAGCTAGTCAAGCCATAGACAGTCAGTCATGTATAGCCCCTGGAAGCGAAACAATCTGTTCTGGACAAGGGGAGTGCCTGTGCGGAGTGTGCCAGTGCTTTGCAGATTCCCCAGATCGTCGGTTTGAAGGGAGGTACTGCGAGTACAATACTGCCATGTGTGCACGTGTAAGCGGCTTTATGTGTAATGGTAAGTGGAGCTGACATCAGGCACGTAGATTATTGTGCAGGTTATTATAGAGGTAGGTTTAGGGGTGTATGTGTGCTGCGAGGCAAACAAGGCGTTTGCCTAGGGCGGCAGTTTTCAGGGGGGCGGCACCGCCCCCAGACAGAAGGGGCAAGGGATCAGGGCTTGGCAGGTTGGGAGAGCTCGGCAAGGCTTGGGAGGGAGGCAGGGTTTAAGCAGGGGGGCAAGCAAGTCTTGAGCAGGGAAGGTGGGCTTGGCTTATGCCATCCTGAGTTAATGGCAAGCCAGCTGTCTTACCCTCTCTGTGCTTTCCCGGAGCACTGATTCCCTGCTGCACCCACTGACCTTGTTAAGATCCGGCAGGAAGCCCAGGCCTGGATTGACCATCACAGCTATGCTATGCTCTGCTCACCCAGCCTCTCTGCAGCCAGCTGGCCATCTATTCCATTCACTGCATAGGGCCGAAGAGTGGAGCCTAGAGGTCAGCTGAGTGTGAAGTGGGAGTGCAGGAGAGGAGACCTACACTGCATGTCAGTTCTCGGTGCAGCCGCAGACACCACGGACCCCAGATAAGTGCTCCATTACTTGTCAAATAGAGTCTCTCTCTCTTCTCCCCCCTCTCCTCTCTCTCTCTCTCTCTTCTCCCCCTCTCCTCCTCCTCTCTCTCTCTCCTGCTCTCTCATTTTGCACAAGATAAAAGTAATCTTGGGGATAACAAGCCGCTGGATTGCTTTTACAGGCGGCAGCAAGGTGTCCCTCCACCGATGCCTTTACCAGGCTCTACCATGCAGTCCCAATGCAAACAATCAGACTGATCTGTGTCTGATCACATGCATTGAGAGGCCAGAGGAGAGATTTGGGGTCTAATAGACCCTAGATCTCTCCATAAACAGGAACTGTCATGGCCCATGCTATCACAAGGGATGTTGTTCATCCCTTGTAATAGAAATAAAGTTGATAAAAAAAAAGTTAAAGATACAGTGTACAAAAAAAAATGTAAATAAAGAAATAATAAAATAGCAAAAAAAAATTAAAGCACCCCCGTTCCCCCATTCTCACATGCACATAGGTCCCTCACGCATATGTAAATAGAGATCGCACCACACATTTGAGGTACTGCTATGAATGTCAAAGTGAGAGTAAAAATTCTAGCACCAGACCTCCTCTGTAACTCTAAACTGGTAAGTTGTAAAGGCTTTTAAAATATTGCCTATGGAGATTATTAGGTACCATAATTTGGCACCAAATGGTATACCGTGGCTGGCGTGGAACAAATTCAGATGGTGGGGGGCGCCCAATTTTAGTCTTGCCTAGGGCAGCACAAAACCAAAATACATCACTGGGTAGGTGTACTCTGTAAATGACAATAGGCATGATTAGTATTTGGGGGCCTGTTAACACCAGTGTATTGCAGTAAAGTGTATTGCAGTAAAATACACGCATTACTGCAACATAATGAAGCAGGCTGCCATGTGTTGCTTGCAAAGAAACAAACAATGCCTAAAAAAATGCCTAGTGCATTACCTTTAAAAGATCATTTATTATGTAAATAAATAGTAATATACTCACAAAGGAACAAATATTATTATTATTATTATTACATCGAGTTTATATAGCGCCAAAGGGTTTGCTCAGCGCTGTACAATATAGGGGGGACAATACATGGCACCGTACAACAATAACAAACAACGTACGAGGGGTAAGAGGGCCCTACTCTTTCGAGCTTACAATCTAGGAGGGAGGGGGGGTAGTGGTACAGTAGGAAGTGGCTGAGGGGAATGAAGTGGTGGGAGGAATGAGGGAGAATGGCCGTTAAGTGAGGGTGGGGTAGGCTTCCCTGAAGAGATGGGTTTTGAGGGAGCGCCTGAATGTGAGGAGGGAAGGCGACAGTCTGATGGATTGGGACAGTGAGTTCCAGAGGATGGGGGAGGACCTGGAGAAGTCTTGCAGTCGTGCATGGGAGGAGGAGACCAGGGAGCAGGATAAAAGGAGGTCCTGTGAAGAGCGAAGGGTATGGGTAGGGTGGTACTTGGGGATCAGGTTGGTGAGGTAGTCAGGGGCAGTGTTGTGAACGGCTTTGTAGGTCAGGGTTAGAAGTTTAAATAAGATGCGTTGGGCAATCGGGAGCCAGTGGAGGGAGAGGCAGAGGGGGGAGGCAGAGGTGGAGCGGTTGGTGAGGTGGATGAGTCTAGCCGCTGAGTTCAGGATTGTCTGAAGCGGGGAGAGCTTGCACTGGGGTAGGCCGGTGAGGAGGGAGTTGCAGTAGTCAAGGCGTGAGATAATCAGGGAGTGTACGAGTAGTTTAGTGGTGTCTGGGGTAAGGAAGGTACGTATCTTGGCAATGTTGCGGAGGTGGAGCCTGCATGTGTTTGTAAGTGATTTGACATGAGGTTGGAAGGAGAGGTTCGAGTCAAGAATGACGCCAAGGACTTTGGCTTGCGGGGCGGGAATGATAGTGGTGTTGTTGGTGATGATGGATAGGATGGGGGGGGGGGGTGGGCAGGGGGAAAGACGAGGAGCTCGTTTTTGGAGAGGAAATATCAAGGGCACATCATATAAAGTACAGCAAGGTCAAGTCACACTGGATGATTTCCGTAATGGGACTCCTAGACCCCCAAATCTCTGCCGCGTTTCGAGGACTTGCCTCTTTCTCAGAGCCATGTGTTGCTGTGCCATTCATTTTAAATGGCATCTCCATGCACCTACACAATCCAGGGAATTAACTAAGCTCTAGCTTGCTTGCACCGCTCTTTGTTAATTCCTAGTGTACATTGTCCTGAAAAATAAAATAGCAGGAGCATTGGGGCTCATTCAAAATGAAAGGGCTGCAACAATGCAGTATGTGGTAATAAAGTGAGTTACTGCAACACAATATAGTGTGAGCGTTCACAGGCCCTGCATCATTCAAAATACTTGCTGTTGATTCATGTGCCTTAGCCTGGGTTCACACTTGTGCAGTGTGGTATATCGCATGTGATTCACGCAGGAACTGCACCGAGTTCCTGTGCAAATCGCACTGCATCTGCACCAAAAAGGTGCAGGACTCTATTTTGGTGCGCACTAGAATCGGGTCACATGGGTATTCACACCCATGCGATCCAATTCTGCACATCACAACACCTTTTGTGGACCGATTTCAGGGTGTTGTTAACTTAACATACACACCCGCAGCAGTTTCACATGAACAGGGTGTGATTGTGATGCGGTGCAGAATTTGCACAGAAACTGCTGCGAATTCCGCACCGCATCAAGGCTTTAAGGCTTGGGTCACATCTGTGCGGGTGGTGCCACTACGGGACCCTCACAAATACCTGCAGCTGCACCACCCACACAGAGGAAAGTGGGATCTGCAGGTGGGTGCCATTAATTCTGATGGAACGCCGCCACACTAGAAATCGCTACTGTACTGGGAACCGAGGTTCCCGTGCGGGCTGCGATTTCCCAAGTAGTGCAGGGACTTCTTCCCTGCGTGTCCCGGTGCATGGGAGTCCATTCAAAAGAATGGGCTCTCGTGCCCGCGCAAATTGCGGCCCACATGGCTGCACATATGTGAACCAGGGGTAAATGCTGCTATTAAGATCTTCTGAAAATGCTAATTGACAGGCAGTTATGTCCATCATTGACTCAAAGGCTTGGAATCTTGAGAACTGAGTGAGTAAACATTGATAACCACATGGTCATCATGGCAGCCATGCAATGAGCATTTTCAGAAGGAGTCAGAAATGGTGGCCTCAGTGTATGTCAGGTTTACTTTAATAGAATTAACCATGTTTAGGCTGAATTTGCATGGAGCAAGAAAAGGTTGAGACCCCTGTTTTTATTCTACCTACTGAGGAGATTTCCCTTTACTTCCTGTCAGAACAGAAAGTCATGGGAAATTTCTCCAGTGGGGACACAAACAAAAACAAAGGGGTATTGCAGTGGGCTCCCTAATTTCAGGCAAATCCTGCATATACTATAGAGTGCAGTGAGGGGGTTGAGGTTAGCTCTGATGAAGAGGACACTGCCCTTGAAATGTGTAAGCTATGCCCCCGTGGATAGGCATCGTTCATGCATTGGAACTGGATTGAGTATATGCTTTCAGCTGTGTACCTTTTGTGAGTACATTGGATTTAATTTCTTGAACAATATAGGGTATTATGATATTGCACTAGGGTGGAACGCCCTCTCTTTGTTGTTTCAGTTTTTAGGGCAAAGATTAGAACCTGGGATTTAAAGTGTTACTAAACCCACAGCAGTAAAATTAGTCTGTATATGCAGTAAAGCATGCTTGTTATACTCACTGTGGAACCTAAGGGGTTAATCATCTGCATTGTGTAAAAAGCCATTCGATCCTGACTTCTCTGCCCCTTCTCTTGTTCAAATCTCCACTTGATAAGACAGACTAAACCCATAGCCATTCTGCACATGCTCAGTTTTTTTTTCTTGGGAGAGTGCATGTGATCAGCACAGGGCCAATCAGCACTGTCCAGACAGAGGGTCAGGTGTTCTGCATCCTCCTAGAGCAGAAAGAAAACTTCTCCTAGAAGCTTTAACCAGTGCTCATCTGAACACTGATAGAAGTCACAAGACTGCTGTAACTGCTGATGAGAAAAAGGTATTTAGCAGTTTATATTTACTACAATAATGGCACTTCCATGTTGTGTGTACTGTGGGAGACCAGATAGAGTGAATGCAGGGTCCTGGGTTTAGTAACACTGCTATGTGGGGCTCCATTAGAAAGATTTCCCCTCACTTCCTGTCCTGGTTACAACGGTTTGATAAAACAGGAAGTAAGGGGAAAATCTGCGACAAAGACAGCTCACAAACTCCAATACAAACCACACCTCGTGGATTGCTCAGCCCTGGGATTCAGTATGCCAGACAGCTTAATCAGACCTTGTTATGCCAAATAAAGTTGAATATTATGGATCAGCATGGTCAGCGTCTCTGTGATTTCCTCATTTCCTGTTCTGTTCTGCAGATAGAGGACATTGCTATATGGGAGCCTGTGCGTGTCAGGCTGGATGGGAAGGACCTGCATGTGACTGCCCAATAAGTAATCTGACTTGCCTGGACAGGAATGGGGTAGGTTTTGTCAGCAACCTAAGTATACCTCCAATTGAGTTTTCTTTGCTTGAATCTAAATATAAAAATATATTGCAACTTACCTGTCCATGTAGTGGCTGCTTTAGTTTTTTGTTCAGGCTACGCTCACTCCTCCTCTGTATCTATAGAGGGAGCCATAGTTGTCACCCAAGCTCTACATCCAACATATCGGCTCCTCTTTATCTGCAATACATTAGTAGTTCACAGAAGGAAAAAAACATTGTTTGTGCATACAGGAAGTGACAAAGACAGGTATTTTCTGTACTTAGCCTGCAAAAAAAAAGAAATCTAATGCAGCTATCACATCTACGGACGGTAAGCTGTAACATATTACATTTTTGTTCTTGGGTAGTGGCTGAGGAAAGGTTTTAAAATGACTGAATTAAATATACATGGTAGGACTTGTGATATAGGACAAAGGTATAAACAACATATTATCATTGGATATTAAAGTGGAAGTGAACTTTAATATCCAATGGGAACTTTAATATCCAAAGGGAAATAGTTAGTTAGTTAGTTAGTTAGTTAGTTAGTTAGGGGGAGCTAGTTGATTATCTTTTCTTTAGTAGGGGGCTGAATAGCAGCCGGGAAAGATGGAACCTAGGGCTTAATCCTCTGCATGGCCGTTTGATCCTGTTTTTTTCTGCCCCTTCTCTTGTTCAAATGTCCACCTGATAAGATAAGACAGACTGAACCCGTAGCCACATGCACATGCTCAGTTTAGTGTATATTGCTAGAGAGGGTTTTTTTTTTCTCTTGGGAGAGTACATGTGATCAGCACAGGGCCAATCAGCCCTGTCCAGGCAGGGATTCTGCATCCTCCTAGAGCAGAAAGAAAACGCCTCCTACAAGCTTTAACCAGTGCTCTGCTGGACACTGATAGAAGTCACAAGACTGCTCTAACTGCTGATGAGAAAAGGTATTTAGCAGTTTATATTTACTAAAATAATTACTTTTCCATATTCTGTGTACTGTTTGAGACCAGATATAGTGAATGCAGGGTCCAGGGTTTAGTGACACTGATGGATGAAAGTTAAGCCTAAAACAGATTGAAGCTGCTAGTGTGCTGATCACTATTTTACTTCGTACAGGGCCTATGCAATAACCGAGGTAAATGTGAGTGCGGTCGTTGCAAATGTGATGCCGAGTCCCAGTTTACCGATGCCTTATGTGAATTTAGCAGTTCATTGGTAAGTCTGACTTTAACAGCCGTATTGATTTTCATTGATAACAACACAGGTAAATTGCATTTTCATTTTTTAGAAGGGCTCATTATTATCCAGATCCTGACCGTGTACACATTTATGTTGTGTTGTGAGACATGACGTAAGACCTAATTTACAAAGTTAAAACACAAAGATAAGCATACTTATTAAAAAGTGTCCATTATTTTCAGCTGGGTTCAATTTGAAAATCAGAGACACATGACTACAATAACAATTTGTGCTAAAATGTTGTGAATTGAGGCTGTAGTAGGGTTGACACCTGCAGGCACGCCCTAGCCGCATCTCCATTCGCGGCCTCGGGTGTCAATCACCGGGTCCCGGCCAGTGATTTCTCGCCGGCACCTGGTGATCGCCGAGTATCTCCGACAGGGAAGAGACATGTGCATGAACAACACAGATCTCTCCCCTGTCAGCTCCTGCACACTGCTTTGCATGGCTCTGCTTAGCAGAGCCATACAAAGTAGTGTGCTTACAGTGTAAAGCACTCACACAGCACACAGTGAAACAGCACAGAGTTAACCCTTTGATCGCCCCACATATGAACCCCTTCCTGCCCAGTGCCATTAGTACAGTGTCAGTGCTTTTTTATTAGCACTGATTACTGTATTGGTGTCACTGGGGATGTCAGTGACACCAAGTCAGTTTCCCCCAGTGTCAGAATGCCTGCCGCAGTCCCGCTTTAAGTCGCTGATCACCGGCATTACTAGAAAAATAAATAAAATAAATTCCAGCATAAATACTGCCATTTGTAGACACTATAACTTTCATGTAAACCAATTAATTTCCATTTTTGTTTTTACCAAAGACATGTAGCAGAATACATTTTGGCCTAAATTTATGACGAAATTTGATTTTTAAAAATTTTTTTTACAGGACATGTTTAATAGCAAAAAGTCAAAAATATATATTTTTTTTTCTCAAAATTGACGGTCTTTTTTTGTTTATAGCGCAAAAAATAAAAAATGCACAGGCAATCAAATACCACCGAAAGAAAGCTCTCTTCTTGGGAAAAAAGGATGTAAATTTCATTTAGGTGCAGCGTTGCATGACCGCACAATTATGACGCAGCACCGTAATTGCAAAAAAATGGCCTGGTCAGGAGGGGTGTAAATCCTCTGGAGGGCAAGTGGTTAATCAGCCCCAGAACCTGTGTAATATTATGTGTTCAGTTTTAAAGGGATGAGGTGGCAATCCTAGCCTATAGACAGCTGTAACCAGCTCAGACAGTACAGGACAGTGATTGGATATTAGTAGACCTTGGGTTATATGCCGCCACCTTCAGGTGATTGGACAATGGCATAGGCTTTGCTGGGAACACCCTCATTGCACCCTCTGCAACCAAAGGCGTCTTCTAGTCCAGTAGAGAAGTCTTGAAGCCTTTGTCAGAGTATAATTACTGTCTGTCTTCTTGTCCTGGTGACAACCGCTCCCCTCATTTCTTATCCTACTGCAACAGACACAGGTAGTGCGGTAAAATCTCACAGACAGAAATAAAATTTTAACAGAAGTATGTACTTCACCCAAATCTATCCAAAACTAAAAGAAAAAGCTGAGCTATAGAAATGTGGAGGCTTCTGACCTAACCCGTAATTGTGCAAGTACAGCCATTTGTATTAACACCTACCTAACACAGGGCCACATATCATTCCATAAAGTGGAGGAGAAATGAGCATTAAGGGCAAAGTATAGTCTTTGAGCAATTTTTTTTTTTTACATAAATATTCTGCCTAATCCCATCTAGGAGCGTAAGGTCTCATTCACACAAGTGGCCAGGGGATGGTAAAAGCAGGCAGTTGGGCTGAAGTTTTACCAGCTTCCCCCCTAACCTCCCACCTAAATAAGAGCATGCAGCTGCTCAGGGCTGAATACATGCCATAGCCACAATGCTTTGCATTGATGGATTAAACCAGATGGCTCATTTGGAGTGTGTAAAGGACAAGTGCTACAACCCTCATAACATATTCTAAGAGGAGTATAAATCTCATCGTGCGACTCCCGCGGTCTCCATCTGCTGAACCAATAAATCAATCACGTAGGATAGGTAACAAGGTGGGAATAAACTGTAAAAACATTATTTGAATGCAGAGTAGAAAACGTTCCAGAAGACCAGCAACACTAACACGTTTCGGTCAAACAAGACCTTACTCGTAGTTCATTTGGAGCGTGGTACTGCCACAGAACAAGACCCATTTAAGTGTATAGGTCAGTGCCACAACTGCCTCATGGCAGGGTGGTTTAACCTTTATAGGGTTAAAGCATGCCATGAGAAGGTGACATGTCACCTCCTGTCTAACTTACTCTGAAAAGCAATCCACCACCAATCACTTTTCAGAGAGGCCACTTTCCAATCTGTATGTGAATTCCAGCAATCGAAATCTAAAACAACAAGCACGACAATTTTACAATAATGACTTAGAATATATACTCACTGAGAATACATTCTACTTCCTAAATATATCTAACACCTAAAACAGTGTATGTTAGCGGTTTTGATGTGACTGGTGTACTGTTTACTGTCTGTGTGAACAGCGACTCCTGGGGGCCTGTGAGGATGTTAGGACATGTGCGCAGTGCCAGGCCTGGGGCACTGGGGAGAAGAAGGGCAAAAAATGTGAAAGCTGCGAAATCCAGATAAAGATGGTAGATGAGCTCACTAAAGGTAAGAGTACAAAATAATGACCATTAGCTGGTGATATGTACTTTACATGCAGATGTCACAGCTCTAAATATACATGTTCTTTTTCATTTCTGGTAGTTGATGACAGGACCGAGAAATGTACTTTCCGTGATGAGGAGGACGATTGTACCTATCATTACACAGTAGAGGGAGTGGGTTCTGTGTTAGCCAATTACACTGTGCTGGTACAAAAGAAAAAAGGTGAAGAAGGTGTTCCATATTTAATCAATGTCCATTCTTTCCAAGTGCCTGGCTCCTTATGTTATGTACTCTTTCTGTCGCTCATTTCTACTCTGTCTATATATTGTAAAAAGATAGGCTCAACTGGTATTAGCAGCCCTAAACCATGCATGAGACACACACAGATACTGGATACAAATGGAGAAACAGAAAAAGGGCGCGCCGACCTAGTGCATTATCGTTTAAAATAATTTATTAAAGAAACAAAAATAGGTATCATACTCACACCCATGGACCCATAATAACACAGGCATGTCTAAACTGAACAAGATGTATGATCCAAACAGAAACATCAGTGCCGAGTCCATACGATGGCCTAACCCTGGATGAGTGCCAACTGGCTAACGCGTTTCGAGGCCCATCACAACCTCTTCCTCATCAAGCCAACTGTTTGAAAAATTTTATAAAAGAAACTACAAATTTTTTGCACATTTTTTAATTTTATAGCGCAAAAAGTGCCCACTTCTCTATTTGTGAGAAAAAAATTATATTTATACAAGTTACAATCAAATGGTAACAAAAGGGCTATCTATTTTGATGCTAACGGGTCATGTGATGTCAGGCTCCGCCTTTGGGTGGTTCTGATACAGCCCTTTTGTTACCATTTAGTAACTTATATAAAAAGAAGTGCAGACTCCTGTAGTGTTGGCTCTGAGGAAGAGGTTGTGTCCTCGAAACGCGTTAGCCAGTTGGTCATCCAAGGTTCCATCGTATGGACTCAGATGTTGTTTGGATCATACATCTTGTTCAGTTTGACATGCCTGTGTTATTATATCCATTGTGAGTATGTTACCTATTTTTGTTTCTTTAATAAATTATTTTAAGCGATAATGCACTAGGTCGGTGCGCCCTTTTTTCTGTTTCTCCATTTGTATCAAGTGTATTCGGACCACCCCGGTCTGTTGAGGGCAGCAAGCATTGCATATTCCAGAAAATTCCAGAACATTCCTATTGGGTCTACTGAGTCCTTTCCTAGCGCAGGAGTAAAGTGTTTGTTGTGTTGGATGAGACACAGATACCCAGGAACAGTCTAAGCAGATTTATCCTGCAATTTTGTTCAGCAAGGCAGCAACAGTTTCAATACAGGAGGGCTTTGTGCAGCAATTTCATAGTATAAGGCCCCTTTGAGACGGGGCGCGGATCCATCAGCGTGATCCGCCTGCTCAGTGGGGGATCTTTCTGCTGTTCCCCGCTGAGCAGATGGATGACAGGTTTCTGTCCGCTCTGCTGCTGCAGAGCGGACACAGACACTGCCCGCTGATTTCAATGCGATGGTTGGATGGAAACAGACCACCTGTCTGTTTCCACCCGATTGTCATCCAATCCACTGGACGGATGGGTAATGGATCCCCATCTGTCTGTTTTTGGCATGCAGGATTGGATCTGATGCTGGCAGGTGTCAGCGGACTAGTGCCCGCTGACACACACTGGTCCATAGAAGTCTATGCATGGACCGGTTGGGTCCGCCTGAAAAATAAACAGGCAGCCCATATCGGTTCACTCTTGTGAAACGGGCCTTAATCTAACAAAACATCTGCTCATCCGAGCCACTAAGGAAACTCATATCAGTTACTGGCAAACAGGGTGCCCCCTAATGGATGCTCCAGGATACACAGGCAGCTCTTGTATGTTATTAGTGTTCTGTAGGCATTCAGCCTTTTCACCAAGCAGCAGGCTTCCACAGCAGAGAGGGAGGGTGCGGAGCATCAGTCAGCACATATTTAAAAGGCCTGTGGACAGCTAAGAATATCAATGAGGTTACCGGGTAAGATGGGGATGGAAGCTTGATCCCACTGCCACGCTACAAAAATTCTGGGCTTCACTACCCAGAAGACAACTTATTAGGATCAGAGAAGTCAAAAGGTTTGTTTTCTCCACAACAGTCACAAACAGAGGCATAACTTGAAGCTTGTTGGCCCAGATGCAGAAGTTGACCTGTGGCCCCCACACTACCACCCTCCGCTTCCATCACGTACCAACATACTTGAAGCTATTTAAGATGTTTATTTACATACTGAGAGGGTAATTCAAAAGATTTTGGAGAAGGTGTCCATATTTAGATATACCTGTCCAGTTATTTTGAATACTTGTAAGCAGACCCCAGTGTAGAATTTAAAAACGATTGCAAGAATTTATTACACCTTTTATTTCCCCCCCCAGGAGAAATCATTAAACTCTCTCTTCTCCTCTCCTATTCTCTTTCCTCCTCTCTGTCGTTCTTCCTCTCTCTCTTTCCTTCTTGCTCTCTACTCCTTCTCTCTTGCTGTCTGTCTCTTATATTCTCAAACTTCTATCTCATTCTCTTTCTGTCTTTCTCTCCCACATCTCTCTCTTTTTCTCTTTTCGTTTTTCTCTCTCTCCTTTTCTCTTTCCCTCTTTTATCATTTAATCTCATTCCATTAGTTCAGTGTCAGTTCACACCAAAAAACTGCATGTGATATTGCTCAGTGACACTCTGCAGTTCCTGTACAATTCACTTGCAGTTCTGCGCAGTGCGATTTCAGCTCATTCATTTTGGATGGACAGAAATTGCACTGCACAACAAGTATTGCATTCTGTACTTTTAAAAATGCATTGCTACAAAAGTACTGTTGGATCTGGTGTGGGAAAAAACACACTGCCCTTGTGATCTGTGTTCGGGGTGTCATTAACGTCTTACTGACACCCCCTGCAGATCGCAAATGGAGTGTGTTTTGCATACAGTGTGAGTTGCACAGGGACGCACAGCACGTTCCCATGCAAAATCCTTTGAAGGCATGGTGTGAACCAACCCTGGTTTCTTTAGATGTTCATCTCTCTTTTGTCTGTATGCAAAAAAAAAAAAAAAAAAGTTTTGCTTACTGCTCACTGATGGACATTTCCATTACACATGTTCAAATTAATACAGACAGTTGTGTCCTAACCATTCTCAGAGCACTTTGCAGACAAGACTGTAGTATCCATAATGTCAAAGTTAATACTGCTGTCTGTTGAACAATCACCACATGAACACATTTTACCTACCTGTACAGAGTTTGGACTACAGAGCCTGCAGAGGGCGATTCCTCACCTGCCCTACACTGAGCATTGACTGGACTGACACAAGGAGATGATGTATTAGGCTTCATGTACACAAGCAGCTGCTAAACTCGAGTTTATGAGCTTTTGGCATTTTTTTTGCCAAAGCTCCTAAATGCAACTCCATAAAAGCCTGTTTCCAAGCACACATAGGCTTTTAGCAGAGTTTAGCAGCTGCTGCGTTTAGGTGAGCATTCAGGGTTGTTTTTTCGCATTCAGGGTTGGAACGTTGTGACCGCCGAACGCGAGAAACCGCAAAATGCAGCAAAACCGTGGTACCACGGTTGGCGCATTTTGCTGAGGTTTTGCCACAATTTGCATTTTCCCACGGCCGGCTGTCCGGGTAGGGTCATGTACATGAAGTCTTAGCCACCCCCGAACATCTGCAACTCTCTCCTTCCTGTTCTCTTTTCATCTTGTGTCCAGTTCTAGATAAATGATCACAGGGTATGTGGGGAGGGGGCTGGGCAGAGGGAGATAATAGATTTCATTGGGCCAGGCTTGCTGACAGGATGACTAAGGGGTGAATGATAACTCTTTCAGCAAAGTAGAAAGAAAAAAACACATTATGATACATGGGAGGAATCTGCTTCTGCTTTAAAGAACAGGAGTTGACAGGCAGTCTCCAGGGCCCCTTGGAGCAGGGGCCAGGTCGCAACTGCGACTTCTGAGAACCCTGGAGTCTCTCATTATATATGGGTGAGAAACATAGCTGACATTTATACACCATCCACAGTCCGGATATCGTATGTACTCTCCAGCGCCTCAGGATATGCACAGCCAAAAGGGAAGCCAAGGGTACCAGGACAGCGACAACCAAAGGAAATGTTCCAGGGGTGCAGCCCTCCTCAGACGGGGAAATCAGCCACTGGAGAGAGAGAAAACAGGTGGCACACACACCTAGTGCATTATCCAAGGTTTATTGTAGGAGTGAAAGAATAATAAAAACATACTCACAGACGAAGCATGTATCTGAAAAGCATAGAAAAATGACAATGGCCACAACGGCAGGCAAGGTGTTTCTCACTGTCAGTGCGGTCAAATGGCTGACGCATTTCGGGGACAAATCCCTTTCCTCAGAGCTGATGACCAACCTCTGATGCTGATGTATGATGTATGGAAAGAAAGAGCCTCGCTGTTGATGCCATCCACAGTCCCACCTGCCAGTGTCTCTCTCTTTTTTATCTCTCTCTCTCTCTCCATATATATATATATATATATATTTACAGTTTTTATGTGAACCCCTTGGGATTACGTTTTTTTTGCATGAATTGGGCATAAAATGTGCTCTGAACGTCATGTTTTCACAACAATAGAAGAACACAGTCTGCTTAAAACATAATACTACACAAACATTAGATTTTTTGCCATTTTAATTGCACATAACATGTAAACATTCACAGTGCAGGGAGGAAAAAGTATGTGAACCTTTGGACTTAATAACTGGTTGACCCTCCTTTGGCAGCAATAACCTCAACCAAACGTTTCCTGTAGTTGCTTTTTCAGACCTGCACAATGATCTGGAGTCTTTTTGGACCACTCCTCTTTTCACAAAACTGTTTCAGTGTAGCAATATTCTTGGGATGTCTGGTGTGAATCGCTCTCTTAAGCTTTTGCCACAGCATTTCAATTTTTTGAGGTCAGGACTCTGACTGGGTCACTCCAGAAGGCGTATTCTGTGCTGTTGCAGCCATTGTTTTTTTTTTTTATGACTTGTATGCTTTTTTCATTGTCCTGTTGCATCCCCCTTCCTCTGCGGAGCTTCAGTTGGCGGACAGATGGTCGTACGTTTTCCTGCAAAATGTCTTGATAAACTCTGGAATTCATTTTCCCATCAATGACAACAATCCGTCCAGGCTTTTGAGGCAGCAAATCAGCCCCAAACCATGATGCTCCCTCCGCCATGTTTCACAGTGGGGATGAGGTTTTGATGTTGGTGTGCTGTGCCTTTTTTTTCTCCACACATAGTGTTGTGTGTTCTTCCCAAACAACTCAATCTTGGTGTCATCTGTCCACAGTATATTTTTGCCAGTAGTGCTGTGGAACATCCAGGTGCTCTTTTGCAAACTTCAAACGTGCTGCAATATTCTTTTTGGACAGCAATGGCTTTCCTCCGTGGTGTCCTCCCATTTTACTCCATTCTTGTTTAATGTTTTCCTTATTGTAGATGTGTCAACAAAAATGTTAGCATGTGCCAGAGATTTCTGTAGGTCTCTAGCTGACACTCTGGGATTCTTCTTTACCTCATGGAGCATTCTGCGCTGTGCTCTTGCAGTCATTTTTACAGGACGACCGCGCCTAGGGAGAGTAGCAACAGTGCTAAACTTTCTCCATTTGTAGACAGTCTGTCTTACTGTGGACACATGAACATCAAGGCTTTTGGAGATACTTTTGTAACCCTTTCCAGCTTTCATGCAAGTCAACAATTCTTGATGGTTTTTCTTTCTGAGAGCTCTTTTCTGCGAGGCATTTTTTCACATCAGACAGTGCTTCTTGAAACCAGTAAACCCAAAACAGGTGTGTTTTTTTTTAAGGGCAGGACAGCTGTCAGCAACACATCCAATATTCATCACACTGATTGGAGTTTTTTTTTGGCTCACTCCTGGCTCCAATTAGCTCTGGGAGAAGTCATTAGCTAGGGCCTCACATACTTTTTCCTCCCTGCACTTTTTGAATTTTTTACATGTTATGTGCAATTAAACCATTTTTTTTTCTAATGTTTGTGTATTATTATGTTCAGCAGACTGTGTTTTTCTATTGTTGTGACTTAGATGACGTTCAGAGCACATTTTATGCTCAATTCATGCAAAACTCCACGTAATCCCAAGGGGTTCACATTTTTTTTCTTGCAACTTATATATATAAATCTCTATCTATCTGTCTGTCTGTCTGTCTGTCTGTCTGTCTATCTATCTATAAATATCTTTCTCTCTCACTCTCTCTAATATATATACCCCCCCTTTCTCTCTTTCTTATATATATATCCCTCTCTATATTTATCTATCTTATCTATCTATCTATCTATCTATCTATCTATTATCTATCTCTTCTATCTGTCTGTCTGTCTGTCTGTCTATCTATAAATATCTCTCTCTCTCACTCTCTCTAATATATATACCCCCCTCTCTCTCTCTCTCTCTCTATATATATATATATATATATATCCCTCTCTATATCTATCTATCTATCTATCTATCTATCTATCTATCTATCTATCTATCTCTCTACCTGTCTCTCTCTCTGTCTGCCTATCTTTCTCTCTCTCTATCTCTCTACCTGTCTCTCTCTCTGTCTGCCTATCTATCTCTCTCTCTATCTCTCTACCTGTCTTTCTCTCTCTACCTGCCTCTCTCTCTCTCTCTCTCTCTCTCTCTCTCTCCCTGTCTCTCTCTCTCTGTCTGTCTCTCTCTGTCTGTCTATCTCTCTGTCTATCTATCTCTCTCTCTGTCTGTCTCCCTCTCTATATCTATCTCTCTATCTTGCACTGCTCCTTATTTTCTATACTCTCTTCCCCATCTCTCCCTTCTCGGTATGTCGTATTTCATATTTACAAAGTATATTTTGCTCTGCAGAATGTCCACCTGGTGCCTTCCTATGGCTCATCCCTCTACTCATCTTCCTGATGCTGCTCCTCGGTCTGTTACTTCTATTGTGCTGGAAATACTGTGCCTGCTGCCAGGTAAGACGTGAATTAAAGCCAGTGGGTACCCACACTTTACAGTGTATGGAAGGCAATACATATGATAGTGAGAGGGAAATGGCATTGTACAAAAGCACTGCAGGACCCAATGGAATGTGTCTGAATATACGCTCACCTTCAATAGTAAAATGTCCCTAAATACTGTATGTATGACTTCTAAGGAGAATATATCAGTTAGTAATGAAGAAGCTATAACAATATCCCAACATATCACAGAACACGTAATATTTCTACATACATAGGCTAGTGAAATTATAACCCAGCTACTACCGGGTGCCATGTTAGCGGTGGGAGGACAGGTGGTGATGAGCACTCATGAGATAAACTGTCTTCTTGTTGCAGGCTTGTCTGGCTCTATTGCCTTGCTGTGGAAGAGGTAAGGAGTAAGCTCGTAGATTTGATTTATATTCCTTTGAAACGGTTTCAATCAAAATAGTTAGTACACATGATATTTGTAGGTAGTTTTGCTGTAAGCCAGTGATTTTTCAGAAGGAACATGTATGAAGAAATATTACATGTTGCATTCCAGGCAGATATAAAAAGTTTACTAATGCTGTCAAGTATTTATTAAAAATCTCTAAATTAATTTTTAATGTTTGCAACGAATTTAAATACCTGATTTTCTTTTCTTTATATCGGCTTCCTGTAATCCTTGCACAGTAGGCTTGGAGAGTTAGTGTCAGCACTGACAGCCAGTCAGACTATGCTGCATGCTCATGTGTTGACAGTAAACATACTTATAGGGCAAAGTAGTGTGAGCAGAAGGACGACCTCCTCCAGTCTCTGAGCTGTGTTCTTCACTAAGCTGTACTGCTGCAGTGAGGAGAGGGGTGGCAGGCTCACAAAAATGGCTGTATACAATTACAAATTATTTTTGGAGGTATACCAGTTACCCTATACTCAGTACCCCATATTTGCATTTTAGCTGTGTATTTGGATGTCTGCCTGCAGTGTAGCTTTAAAGTGTTCCTAAACCCAGGACCCTGCATTCATTATGTCTGGTCTCCTACAGAACACAAAACATGGAAATGCAATTATTTTCATAAATATAAACTGCTAAATACCTTTTTCTCATCAGCAGTATATGGCAGTCTTGTGACTTCTATCAGTGTCCGGCTAAGCACTGGTTAGTCTTGTAGGAGGAGAGCATGACCACTGACCTTGTCTGGACAGCACTGATTGGCCCTGCGCTGATCACATGCACCCTCCCCCCAAAAAAAAAAAAATTCTAGCAATACGCACTAAACGGAGCATGTGCAGAGAGACTCCTAGAGCGCTGTACTATCAGCAGATGGATTGGGGACAGTAGAAGTGTAGGATCAGAGAAGTAAGGATAAAACAGCCTTCTTACACAATGTGGAGAATTAACTCTTTAGATTCCACAGTGAGTATAACAAGCCTGCTTTACTACATATACAGACTGATTTTACTGTTGTGGGTTTTAGTAAGTTTGCTCTTCCCAGATAATAGCTTATGCAGTCAAGGGACCCCAGTAGATATTAAACATCTGTACCGCTTTAAAACATGATCATTCATTTTTTTGTTTTACCTGTAGGCCTCAGAAGCCTGGCTAAAGAGCCCCATGTCCTGCCTTATTACAGAATTGTGAAAACTATAGGTTTTTAGTTCTGCAATGCTGAGAGTGAGCATCCAACAGTTTTCATATCCTTTCAACAAGTCAAGAAATGGGGTTTGCTAACTAGGAGTTTATTAGACAGGCTTCTGGGGGGACCCAAATGGCCTATAGGTAAAACAATACAATGAATGATCATTTTACAAAACTCCACAGATTTGTAAGATCTTATGAGGCCCCTTGACTGCATAGGCTATTTTCTAGAAAAAGGTGAACTTAGCCTTTAAGTAAGTCGGAGATTTGTAAATCTCAAGTGAAGAATCTATAATTTTATGACCCTTCTATTCCTTTTGCAGGGCGCACTGTGGGATTTAAGGAAGACCACTACATGCTACGACAAAGCCTTATGCAATCTGATTATCTGAACACACCACTTGTACGAACTGGAAACTTGAAAGGTGGAGACACTGTGAGATGGAAGATTAACAACAATGTACACCGGCCACCTCCATCTCCCGATGCCCTGAACCCCAAAGAGCTGGGTATGTGATTAGAACAGCAGGAGTGGGATGACTGGGAAGATAAAGTGGGAACAGTTAATGGGTTTAATGAGTCGTAAATCTCAAGTCCTATTTTATCATTTGTTCTTGCAGAGAAAATTCTGCAAAAAAACCTATTATATTTCAAAGAGAATATTTTAGAAACTAATAAGTATTATACAATGCTTATAGGATTTTGGGGGGTGCTGAGGAAGGGGGTCAGTTAAAGGTTAAATGTGCTAAAAGTAAAAGTATCCTTTAAAAAGCCAGCAGTGAACCGCAGTCCAGTGACCTGCTTAGGCCGAGATGGAGTGATCAGTCTGCCGCAGGCAGAGGGAAGCATTTACTCAGTCTACTCTCCCTCGTTGATCAAGCTACAACATTGTAACAGTATAGTAATTCATGAGATGAGAGGCTGCAATAGGGGGCTGGTCTGTATTGGGCAAGAACTTCACAGGTATCAGGATTTATGTGAGTGTGTCATCTCTGAGCCAGCATCTCCAGTGTAGGAAATACATGTATGCAAGCTGGATGATGCATGAACAAATATGACTTTCTGGAGGGAAAAAGCAGATGAAGGCTTTGACAGGAGGAGTACTGCAATCTAAGTGATAGATTTATTATCTGCACGTGTTAGAGGAAAAAATATATGTAATACTAGGTCCACAGCTCAAAAGAGTGCTTTTCAATACTATTACTTATGGTGTATGGTGGCTACAATATATAAATGTCTTCTCTTTTAGTCCCATATGGAGTCTCACTGAGGTTGGCTCGCCTTTTCACTGAGAACCTGTCTAAGCCTCAGACAAGAGAATGTGAGCAACTCCGTCGGGATGTTGAGCAAACGGTAATTACATACAGTGGGCTGTCCTCCCCCAGGGTAACCCAGTGATTGTTTTTTTTTTTAATTTCTAATAGCCATTGAAGTCCAGTTTATTTTAGTCCATATAAAACCAATATTTCAAGACCCAAAGGGCCTCTTTGTGAAAGTGCAAATTAATCTTTGTCCTCTAGATATCCTGCCATCAATAAAGCCCCACCTTCAGCTTTCCCAGGATTGATGGCAATATCTTTATTTGGCTTTTCATTGGTGTTACCTAGCTGTACCTGCACACCTATACAAGGTCTACCTAACTGAAAGGCTTTGTGGTATGATACCTAATATATATTTTTATGATGTGGATGAATATAAGGTTTTAAAATATGACACTCTTTGATCAAGCACTATGTTGAAGGAGAAAAAAGATTTGGATATACATCACCTAATCTGAACACTAGTTAAATGTACAGCATCTAAAGCAGAAGGAAGTGAAAGGAAATCTCTCCGAGGTGAAGGAACATCACTACGTCCTCTCCAAAAACTAAAAAAAGCTTTAGCTAGCGATACACTTTTAGGATACATAGCTGATGGATGAATACAATGGCAATATCCTTGGTAATGTCTACAGGTTAGGTTATACCTTTTTTTACTAGGTATTATTCACTTGGTTTTTGGATTGCCCAAGGTGATTGCTACACCTACAGCAGGGGTAGGCAACCTCAGCACTCCATCTGTGGTGAAATTACAAATCCCAACAGCCACAGACATGACTCCCAGAGGCAGAAGCACGATGAGATTTGTACTTGGAGTAGTGAGGTTGCCTATCCCAACCTATGAAATTGCCTATGCCAATGGAAGACAGTAAAGTTGCACATTGTACACATTTATATCTGTCTAAAACATATTTGTCTTACTAATAACATTTATTCCCATAGCTAAACGAGGTGTATAAAGTGATACCTGGAACACACAAGGTGAAGCAAACAAATTTCCGGTAAGTCTAGATTTTCTATGGAGCATTTAGAGTAATCTCACAGAATACATGAAATTACAGTTTGTCTACTTTTGTTTCCTTCTAGGTTACAATCCAATGCAGGTAAAAGGTATGAACATTGTCTTAGTTTGGATATCTGTCCACCTTTGTATTTGAACAAACAGTAATCATTTATGATATCAAAAATAAACCCCCACCCATCCCTTCATTCCTCCTTCCCCTATCCTAATCCCAGTAACAACATTCACTTGTACCTCAGAGAATACCTTCCTGCTAACCATTGCTGTATAAGTAAACAAAAGGCTTGAACCTGAGTGATTTAGCTCAGTTTGTAGTAAATGGCTTGTTTTCAATTTCTCCATCCAAGTTTCCTTAACTTCATAGTCATCTAATGGTTGTTCACACATTTTTCTACAGACAGGATCACACAATTGCAGACACTGTATTGATGGCTCCAAGAGAGGCAGAACCTGAAATTGTAAAAGTCACTGAGAAACATGTCACACAAGAGGCTTTCCAAGACTTGAAAGTCACCCCTGGGTACTACACAGTAATATCTGACAATGGTGAGTGCTACATTTCTCTAACATTCTCGTATAAACTAACAGAGACATGGGCTTTGCCCATGCATGGCAACCAATAGGTTCACTTTATTGGCAGCTCTTACTCGCCTATCCCCTTACCCCTCCATTGCTCCATTGGACTGCCGGAAGTGAAGAGCTATAGCCATGACTTGGAGCCTAATCAACCCCCATGTGATAGCCCTGGGTGCCTACAGGACCAGGCACTAGCACTGGCACATGAGAGGTAATAAAATGAGAAATAAGCTGTTGGCATCACAATTAACGTGAACTTGTTGATTTTTCTTGCATGGGCAAAGCACAGGTTTACTCTTCGAGCTCAGAGTATTTATTTTTGCTGTTTTATATTTTTTATAGATGCCCATGGGCTGGTGGAATTTCAGGAGGGAGTGGAACTTGTAGATGTCCGTGTGCCCCTTTTCATCAGACCAGAAGATGATGATGAGAAGCAGTTATTGGTGGAGGCACTTGAGGTTCCCGCAGGAATCGCCCACCTGGGAAAGAAAAATGTTAACATTACAATCATTAAGGAGCAAGGTGGGAACAACGATGTCCTTTACATGGGCATTACATACCGTTAACAAAAGAATTCCATTCATGATAGGGATATATCCTATACTTTATGTCTGACTTATGCTGATCATACATATAGCAATATGATAATTTAGTGTAATTTTTTTGACAAAATAGTCTGAAATTTATTACAGTACTGTAAATTGGTGACTTGATCATCATATAGAGAGCATCAGGTCTGATAGCAAATGCAGTCGAGTTTGAACCAAAACAAGCTAATATTAGATAGTCTGGATGGTTTAGAACCTCTGTGAGGTCTTTATTGCTATCTGTATTCCTATGGGGGAGATTTTCCCCTTCTGTTTGTCCTGGTGACCATTGTCACTGCAACAGAAAGTAATGAGAAATCTGAAATGTTATGGTTGTCTCTAGAAGAGGAATATTGGCAAAATCTTCTGGCGGTGGGGACACCTGTTCCAGTGAAAACTAAGTAAGAGGATTTTCCCTCATTTTAGTTCCTATTGTGTCTGTGGGACAGGAAGTGAAGGAAAATCTCCTCAATGAGACAGCTTGTAAAAAAAAACTGACAGAAGTCTTTAATCCATCCCCTACCCTATTCAAAACTCAACAATAAATCTACGGTTGATCATTTATAGTCATTAATAAATACTTGCTGTTTTATTCTACACACTCTTGTCTCAATGAGTCATCTTAGAGTACTTCTGCATAGAAACCAATCAGCTTAGGTTTCATTGCCAAAGCTTCATTGAACAAGCTGAGGTTAGAAGCTGATTGGTTTCTATGCAGAAGGGAGTCTGATTTTGGACTCTGCTTTAGTAAATAACCCCCAATGAGTCATCTTAGAGTACCATTACTTTATTTTATGTTATTTGTATGTATTTTTGTCATATGATGTCTCATACAATGTCAAGTCTAAAAAAAAAAAAATACAAAATCAGCACAAGGGACATTCCTTAACTTTAGTGTAATGCGTCCCTTGTGCTTCTGTCTTCCAGTTCAGTGGCAATCTTCTGCCTCCGGTTTCCCTAATCCCAGAGGCCATAATCTTCTGGAGCAGTGTTCGGGTTAATAGAACAGAGGAGCTTTTATTTGCACTCATCAGGACAGCCTGACTATGCCAGTCCTTTTGGCCCCGCTGCTCCAATTATAGAGACTGTACTACAGCTTGTATGAATGAAACAGGATATATATATATATATATATATATATATATATATATATATATATATATATAAGAGGGGTATGTGATTGAATGGTCTGCCCCCCCTCCATTCACAGATCATATCTCATTATCTCATTTATAGAAGCTATAGTACAGCTTCTATGAATAGAGGAGCGGGGTGGAAAAGGTTGGCATAGTCAGGTCTCCTAATGAGTGCAATTTACACCTCCTCGGTTCTATTATTAACCCCCCCCCCCCCACCACCACAGCAGCACTTATGTGAGGGCATTGGAAAAGGAGAAATACCACTGAAGTCAGAAACACAAAAGGCACATCACACTGAAGATAAGGAATTTCTCTTGTTTGGATTTTGACTTTATTATATGAAACTTAGGTTTTAACATGACTATTGTAAAAAAAATCATATTCAAAGATTTCATATTACATAAACTGATTCTATTCATACAAACCATGTCATATACAAGTAACTTGGGCTACTTTTTGTTGACAAAGCTATATTGCCAGGGCCATGGATAAGGGGTAACACCAGTCCTCCTGTACGGGGCCCAAGCAAGCAGGGGGGCCCAGGCAGCTGGGTGAATCGGATGTAGGCAGGGAAGGTGATCAGCACAGCCAGGTAAGGGGGGGGATTAATTACTGGAACCGATCCCCTGTATGGCTCTCTCTGCAGCAGATGAGAACTGACTTTTTCTCCTCTCCTTCCCGCTGGCTTTCAGCTGCTGCAGAGAGAGCCGTACAGGGGACTATTTTAAATATTTGCCCCCCCAGCCTCATCCATCACCCTACCTGTGCACCATGAATTTCCCCTTGCTGTACAGGGGACTATTTTCCCCCCCCAGCCTCATCCATCACCCTACCTGTGCACCATGAATTTCCCCTTGCTGCCCAGGCCCCCCTTGTGTGCCCCCACCCCCCGCAGTGCTGCTGGCTTCCCTCATTTACCAGCCCCTTCCTTTCCTGAATAAACTCAATGAGTAATCGGTACTGATCACTCACTGTGTTCATTCATAAGCATAGTAAACTTTGTTTGCTTTGGGGGGCCCTGTCAGGTTGGTTGTATGGGGCCCCGTGGTTTCTAACAGCAGCCCTGTATATTGCTGATATATACTGTATATAATATTAACTGTGATCTCGATCTATACGTAAAATCTTAGACCAGAGCTATGTATGATTTCATAAACTTCAAAATCTTCATAAACTTCTCCCTATATTATAGCTAAGAGCGTAGTGTCCTTTGTGAAGCCAGCATATACCTACAGCCGCCATGAACAATTCGCACGTGTTCCTGTTTCTCGGGAAATTCTGCAGAATGGCAAATCACAGGTTACCTACCGCTCACAGGATCTGACAGCTCGAGAGGGCAAGGTAAAAGCTTATCTCCATGTTATTTATTTTTGTGCGTGTGTTGATCATGATGAATGGTTGCTTGCTTTATGATTTGTATAGATAAGTGCACTTAGTGCAGCAAGAACAGCCCACCAACCACTGCATATGGGGTTTGTCGAACCCATCAGCAGCAGCCCCTCTGTGTGTCCCGTACATGAATTTGGCTGTTTTTGGGATGTGCCCTATTAAGATACTTTGCACAGCACAAAACTGGAAATACAACCTGAATTCATTCTGACTTTGCAGTCTAGGCTTCTGAGGCCTCTTAAAGCACGCTAGATATGAAGGCTGCCCTTGCTGGGCTCTTTCTGGAAATGCTTGTAGCCTGGAGTCACAGACCTAGAACAAGCATGAAGCAAACAAAAGTCCAAGAAAAGCCACCTTATGCAATTGTTTGCTCAGGGTCAGTAATGAATCCTAAGCATCAGACTGTCAGATAAATAACTTGTACTTTCAAAAGTCATCAATAGCAGCCTGCATATTTTTCTCATAACATTTGAAAGACTGTCTACATTAGAGATGAGCTTAGGGTGTCCTCTGAGCTCATCTGTAGCTGTACTCCAAACTTGTGTACTCTTTGTAATCCAGTGATCTGCTGGGCCGGGTCATTTTTCCCATCTTTGTTAACACGAACTGTGGGTGGAATGACCCAGGCCACATCTCATTCAAGAAAAAAAAGAGCTCAAGTTCAAAGTTTGGCTAGCGTTGAATATGGAGCTCCACATGAGTTGTTAATGAACTCACATTACATTCAACTAAAATATGTAGAGGGTACATCTTTAGAAACCTTAGATGATCTACAGTATGTCAACAATTATAAATATGGCTGGTTTGCATCATTGCAACAAAGATATTATTACCATAATGGCAATAAATACCAGGATCAATATTCTACTATGAATTTGTTTAGTTAGAAGTGTCCTTTGTTATCACAACTCTTACTGCGAAGGATCCTTTAATTAGAATGTCAAAATGTAATAATTTTTCATTTTTATTTCTAACTGCATGAGTGTGTGAATGTATGTTTTCTGCTGTAAACTACTTCTATATTGTTTAGCAGGGTCATTTATAGTTATTTAAAGCAACTGTCAAAATTTAGTTGAGCTCTTTCCATGAGATCCATTTTTTTTTTTGTAAATTGACATTAAGAACTGAACTGCATATTCATACTAGTTCATAACAAACAAGTGAATTAGAGTACTCTTACTTCAGTCAATGGCTTTTCAAATGTATATCACCAACCTTAGAAGCTGCAGATTTACATTGCATGCCTTTTGAATCTATGATCTACTACATGTACACATTTATGTTCTTATTCTTTAGTTTACAATATTCTTTAGTTTACAATATTTCCCTATAGTGTATGTGATAAAGATTTTCCTTAAATGTTTGTAATGAGGCCTATATTGGTTTAATGGCTCTTCACACCAGCAGCCATGCTGAACATTCAGCTTCTGGTGTGAGCTGAGAGGAAACCATGCCAAATACACCCATCCTGGCACATCGACATGTTATACACATTGTCATGTTACATGTACAGTGGGGCAAAAAAGTATTTAGTCAGCCACCAATTGTGCAAGTTCTCCCACTTAAAAAGATGAGAGAGGCCTCATAATTGGCATCATAGGTAGACCTCAACTATGAGAGACAAAATGAGAAAAGAAATCCAGACAATCACTTTGGCTGATTTGGAAAGAATTTATTTGCAAATTATGGTGGAAAATAAGTATTTGGTCACCTACAAACAAGCAAGATTTCTGGCTCTCACAGACCTGTACCTTCTTCTTTAAGAGGCTCCTCTTTCCTGCACTCATTACCTGTATCAATGGTACCTGTTTGAACTTGTTATCAGTATAAAAGACACCTGTCCACAACCTCAAACAGTCACACTCCAAACTCCACTATGGTGAAGACCAAAGAGCTGTCGAAGGACACCAGAAACAAAATTGTAGACCTGCACCACGCTGGGAAGACTGAATCTGCAATAGGCAAGCAGCTTGGTGTGAACAAATCAATTGTGGGAGCAATAATTAGAAAATGGAAGACATACAAGACCACTGATAATCTCCCTCGATCTGGGGCTCCATGCAAGATCTCACCCCGTGGGGTCAAAATGATCACAAGAACGGTGAGCAAAAATTCCAGGACCACACGGGGGGGGCCTAGTTAATGACCTGCAGAGAGCTGGGACCAACGTAACAAAGGCTACCATCAGTAACACACTACGCCGCCAGGGACTCAGATCCTGCAGTGCCAGACGTGCCCCCCTGCTTAAGCCAGTACATGTCCGGGCCTGTCTGAAGTTTGCTAGAGAGCATTTGGATGATCCAGAAGAGGATTGGGAGAATGTCATATGGTCAAATGAAACCAAAATAGAGCTGTTTGGTAGAAACACAACTCGTCGTGTTTGGAGGAGAGAGAATGCTGAGTTGCATCCAAAGAACACACATACCTACTGTGAAACAAGGGGGTGGCAACATCATGCTTTGGGACTGTTTCTCCACAAAGGGACCAGGACGACTGATCCATGTACAGGACAGAATAAATGGGGCCATGTATCGTGAGATTTTGAGTGCAAACCTCCTTCCATCAGCAAGGGCATTGAAGATGAAACGTGGCTGGGTCTTCCAACATGACAATGATCCCAAACATACCGCCCGGGCAATGAAGGAGTGGCTTCGTAAGAAGCATTTCAAGGTCCTGGAGTGGCCTAGCCAGTCTCCAGATCTCAAACCCCATAGAAAACCTTTGGAGGGAGTTGAAAGTCCATGTTGCCCAGCGACAACCCCAAAACATCACTGCTGTAGAGGAGATCTGCATGGAGGAATGGGCCAACATACCAGCAACAGTGTTGCCAACCTTGTGAAGACTTACAGGAAACGTTTGACCTCTGTCATTGCCAACAAAGGATATACAGTATAACAAAGTATTGAGATGAACTTTTGATATTGACCAAATACTTATTTTCCACCATAATATGCAAATAAATTCTTTCCAAATCAGCCAATGTGATTGTCTGGATTTTTTTTCTCATTTTGTCTCTCATAGTTGAGGTCTGCCTATGATGCCAATTACAGGCCTCTCTCATCTTTTTAAGTGGGAGAACTTGCACAATTGGTGGCTGGACTAAATACTTTTTTTGCCCCACTGTATGTGTATGGAAATATACTGGTATCCTCGTGATTACACATTAACTTCTTGGTGTCTCGTTCTTCTTCCCTGTTTCAGGATTATGCATTCACAGAGGGTGACCTGGCATACCAAGGAGATGACAAACTATCTGAGATCACAGTTCCTTTGCTTGGCCGGTCAGAGGTGGACACTTTGTTGGGAAATCGCCAGGTCAAACAGTTTCTGCTGGAGCTTAGCAATCCAAAGTATGGGGCCAAGATTGGCAAATATCCACAGTGCACTATCACCATTGATGACAGTCCAGGTGAGAGGTGACATTTTCAGCTTATCAACAATAATAATACATTTTTGTTATCCTGCCATTTTCTTTGTGATAGCATCACATAAAAATAAAAAGGATAATGGCTGACCTTGATGTTGGTGTTAAGAGTTAGAAGCAAGAAAAAAATATGGGCCTTGCCATTGCTGATGTCTTTCTGTAGATGCTAGTTGCTCATCTGCCATGCTCGGCCTTTGGCTTCAATACTTTGAGTCACTAATATGGAATAAGTAAGAAGATAAGGAATTCAGATTTTTCTCCTAATTTCTAGATCTGTATAAACTGCTGGCCATACACTTTGCAAATTTTGTGCAAGGACATGTCAAAATTCACATCATGGTTGACCCCCTCCCACCCACCATCCTTCCATTGAAAAATAAAAGGATCTGGGGATTTTGGTGTAATATAAAGTACTATATTTGCTAAAAGAGATTAAATGCATCAACTAAGTTGGCAATCTTTGAGCTGATGATGATGTAGATCAAGCTAGGCCAGTTTTAGATGGGCAGACCAATCATTAGGATAGGTCTGTAGGCTGCTTCATCACAAACCCAGAGCAACCTTTTTTGCCCATCCTGGGGTCCATTATGCTGCACATGAAGCAAAGGGAATTATTTATTTTCTGTTCAAAGCAGTTTTTAATCAGTTACAGAGATTTTGAGGCACTCTTATTCTTCTGATTCCTTGTTAGCCTAAATATTTTCTTCTTGCCTTGATTGGACCAGTTATATTGTGAGTAAAAATTGGGCCCTGTGTGGATGGTGGTAAATAATGTAATCAAATAAAGACAATTACACATGTGAACAAAGATATTAAATAACCATTCTCATCTATGATATCTTTCTTACCTCCAATTTACCAACAGATGTCGTGGAGAAGGTAATGCCTGTGCAGTCCCTACAGTCTCCTCGTGGCAAGATTGGTGCCCCTATCAACCTTAATGCCCAAGCGATCAATGCTAGGAAAATCCGACTCAACTGGATACCCCCATCTGGAAAACCATCTGGGTACAAGGTAAGCACGTCCGTCATCTGTCCTGGGAGATGTGATCATGTTACTTTTGCAATGCTTTATTAAAGTGATTTGTGTGAAGGACTGATTGCAAATTCTTGCTAGGTACGTTTTATTGCGTGTATTTGTTTTAGTGTTATCAGGTCTTTAAAGCAAAGCTGTTTCTAAACTGATCCACACATATAGGGCAAAGCAACATGTTTGCTTCACGCCCTGCATTCCCAGCCTTTCCTTCTCTCCTACACTAAACCGTTCAGCTGTAAGGTGAAGGACATACCTGGTTCTTTTAGGTTTGGAGCAGCTTACAGGTTACTCCCATTCCTCTGATGTGATAGTGCTGTTATTTGGTGATTGGTCCAGGGGTGTCACATGGAAATGTTGAGCCCTGTGTAAGCTCTCACTTGAGTGATTCAGAGCTTACACTAAGATGCTTTTCCTCATCTCCTGTGGCAGAAAAGCAAAAGGAAGGTAAGAATGTGCTTCTGAGGAGGGTGGCATTAGAGTGAACCCATTACTTTGGCATGCACATGTATGAAAGTATAGCTTCCTATCAAATCCCGAGCCTCCCTACTGATCCTTTAAGGTGATGGGAGTTACACCTGATTAATAGTGAGGCTTGGAGGTGAGAGAGGGTGGGGTTGAACATCTACAGAAAAAAGTCAAGTTTTGCACATAAATTTGACTACCGCACCTCTGTATATGTTGATCATTTTGGCAAATCTTCACATGCATACACCTGTGTAAGGGGTGATTTACCCTCAGATTTTCACTCATTTTCTGTAGTGTTTGTGACACAGGAAGTAAAGAGAATCTCACTAAGGAATGCAAACAGAAAAAAAACTAAAGTATAATAGCTAAAGTTATAGATTTACACCGAAAGCAACATTGCATTTATGAGATTGTTAAGTGGCTTTACCAGGATAGCGTACTAAATAGTTACCCTCATGATTTACCGCCCAAACCATTGTTATATTAGAATATTACTTTGCTTCCTAGAAAAAAAAAAAACTTTGATGATGTTGATCTTTGTCTAGGTACGGTACTGGATTCAAGGAGACTCAGAATCAGATGCTACTGTTATAGACACAAAGGTACCTACGGCCGATCTAGTCAACCTGTACCCATACTGTGACTATGAGATGAGAGTGTGTTCCTACAATACGCAGGAAGAGGGGCCTTATTCAGATGTTGTGACATGCCAGACCCTTGAGGATGGTAAGCATTATTACCGTGCTTGAATATTTCCGGAAAAAGGGTAAATCTGATTCATGGAATTGATGAGGAATACTGCCCATGAATTATTTAATTCCCCTTCCACTTTTTTCTTCCACAGTTCCAAGTGAACCAGGCCGGCTGGCTTTCAATGTAATTTCCAGCACCGTGACACAGCTTAGCTGGGCAGAGCCTGCAGAGACCAATGGCAGTATTACAGCATATGAGGTTAACTATGGCATGGTCAATGAGGATAACCGTAAGTGTCTGCCAATTATTTACCTACTGACTGTCTTCTGCTATTATTTACACTCTTAATGTAGATGTAGACAGGTGAATCAGGTTGTCTGTTTGGCATAGAGGTGTGTTCTAGAATAAGGTTGTGTTGTGGAGATAGTTGATGGGGAACACAGTAATAGTAGTGGATGTGGCAATAAGTGTGCCCAGATTTCCGCTTACATAATAATATATGTAACATTTACACTGATTATTTGAGTGTAGACATAGGTTACAAACATACTCAAGAGAAGCATGTTATATAATTGGAAAATTACACCTTTTAAAATTCTTAATTTATAAGTTTACAAGGCAGGTTCTCTGCCTAGGCAACAATAGCCATGACCTAAAGTGGAAGTTCCACTAGAGAGGCACAAAGCTACCATGTTCCTAAATTTCAGTAACCCAATATTGTGTATAAACTTCTACCCTGGCTTCTGTACAGGCCAGCGAGGTCTTCATTCTGGCTCCTCCTGCAGTATTGTGTATTTTTTTGGATAGACTAAGGGCACTGCCTACTTACAGTTCAACTCACCCACCCTGGATCTGCTTAAAACTGAATTGCTAGTTGAGTAGGGCAGTAGTTTGCCCCACTCTTCTAGTTGTGAGGTCTAGGTGTTCTGCGGTGCAAAACTTATACTTTCCCTCCAGGACTCATGACCTCTCCACAAAAGCCCTCTTCTCCTAACAACCTAAAACTTAATCTAGCCCTCTCACTAACCTTCTTTTGAACCCTAACACTACCTAACACTAATACCTTCCACACCAGCATCCTTTGATATCCTTTAGCTTGGAACTAATAGACATTGGTGCAGAGTCAATGTCACTAGAAACTACAAATCACCTTCCCTAAAGAACATTAGATTTTGGATATATATGTGTAATACCGTATACGTATAATTCATACTTTGTATTTGTGGCAGAACCCATTGGACCCATGAAGAAAGTTTTGATCAATGATCCAAAGAAGCGAATGGTACTCATTGAGAATCTACGGGAGTCTCAGCCATACAGATACACTGTGAAAGCCTGTAATAGAGCTGGCTGGGGACCAGAGAGAGAAGCTACTATGAACCTTGCAACCCAGCCAACTCGTCCAATGTCCAGTGAGTACATCCAAAGCTGAACTGATCAATATCACACTACACAACACAGAGGTTACAATCTTGTGTAATTGTATTACAGCATTTCCTAGACTGAGACTACTACACATGACACTTTTAGGTCCGAGTGAATTGAAGGAAATGTATAGTGGTTCAGTACTTTATTTTTATATTTATTGTGGTCAGGACTAAGAAGATACCATTTTTTTACAGTTTTCTTTTTATGTCCGGTAAATATTACATATGTATTTGTAATATTGAGGATATTTAAGCCAGAAGGTGGCGCTTTAGGCATTTTTCATGTTTTCCAGGCTCAGTATTTGCTACACTTTGCTGTAAATGCTTGATGTTTACATAATCCAATAGGACAAGCGGAAATGTACAAATTCAGGTTGATTTTCATTGCATTGATTTATCTCTTATCAGTCTGAAGTTTCAGTTAGACAAAGCAGTTCCTCAAGACAGGTAGTGCATGTGATGCAGTACCTTTACTACCCACAGTTATCTGGGAATCATTTTTCATTGCAAATTAATGGTACAAAGCACACTCTATATAAAACATTGGTTTAAAAATATACTAAGCTGAGTACAAGGCAAACAGCTAAATGCAGGAGCAAGTTTACCTGTCAAATTATTTGTATTTCTGTTGATCCAGTTCTGACATTACTCTTTTTATTGGTACATTTGGTGGTACTTTATTCAGAAATACATACTGAGAATTTTGTGAGAACTACTTTTGTAACTCTCTCACTCCTGCTACTTGCAGTTCCTATTATTCCGGATGTTCCAATTATTGATGCAGAGGGTGGAGAGGAGTATGACAGCTATCTCATGTATAGTACAGATGTGCTGCGATCTCCAGTGGGAAGCAAGAGACCCAGTGTGTCTGATGAATCAGGTAAGTAGATCCCTTTACAATGACATATAGCTCAGTGGGAAGGGTGGATATCTATAACAGTCCAGACCTGCCTGCTGCTGATGTTGTCTCATTAATTCCACTTCATAAAGACCAGACAACAGGTTTTTAGTTACATAGTGCAGTCTCAGTCTGCCGGCTGTTAGCAATGCACTGTCCCCTCAGCTTACAATTTATATTTCCCACCCACCCTTTTCCCTTAAATGTTTGCCCTCCATCTAAAGCACCCCTGTCCCTTGAAGGCCAGCGCTGGAAGTACGTCCCCCTCCTGGGCTCAGGACTGGATCTACGTCACATCACATGGAAGCTCCCTGTAGAGATCATCCCACGACTGTCTGTCAGCAGTTCTATGTCAACCGACACAGAGAGCCTCCAGGACCAAGTGGACAGTGGAAGTTCCTTGGTGAGAAGAGGGACCATGCGTGCTCCAGCAACAGTAGAAGATAACACCAAGATGGCGGGGGTGTCAGGTATTGTATGTTTTCCTCCCTTCCCTTACCCCCCCTTCCATCAGTGTAAAGTGCTAACAGCCTGCAGTTGCATGATTGTCTTGTCTGCACTTGTAATCAGTATGGTGACTTAATTCATGGATAGTGGGACTATCAGCTGAACTTCTGTTCTGGAAATACTTTTCTGCTTATGCTAATGTACATTGCACACACATAAATATATGCATAAAACAATTTACACTATATGGCCAAACATATGTAAACATGTGATTATCACACCCATACTATGTGACTAAATGTGTGCAGAGATCCCTCCAAATCACTGAGTTAGGTGTTTCCAGTGAAGGATACTGTTAATGCTACAATATATTAAGACATTTAAGATACTCAGGCATTTCCAGACTGGTGACAACAGTTTGGAAAAGGCTGCTTTTTCTTGCTCCTGAATGACTGTACTGTGCACCAAGATAGCTCCACAAAAACATGATTTGATGAGTTTGGTGTGGAGGAACACAAGTGGCCTGCACAGAGCCCTCACTTCAACCCTACTGAATGCCTTCAGGAAGAGCTGGAATGCTGATTGTGAATCAGGACTTCTCAACCAACATCAGTAAATTACTTTACAAGTGCTCATCTGACTTTTTGGGCACCGTTCTTATGGACTCTTAAGACTCTTGTTGAAAGCCTTCCTAGAAGAATGGAGGCTGTTTTAGTCATGGAGGGACATTTAGGACAGTATGACTCCATCCATGGTTTTGGGTTGGGATGTCCAACAAGCTTATATAGGCAAGATGGTCAGGTTAGATGTCCACATATTTTAGCCACATAGTGTACGTTGTTTTACGTATACACATTTCAGTTTATACTGCATGAAGAAAAAATGTTTTGAGGCTTTTCTGCCCTACATGGACAAGAAAGTTATGAAAGATCAAATGTTCCTATTTGAAATATGACTAATTCAAACAGCATTAGCAGAACAGTACCAGTGAGACAGAGGCAGATGGACATTCATACAAATCCAAAATTTGTGGAGACGTGAGAATTTTTGTCATGCAGTATAATAATTGCTTGAAATATGGTGGATGATCATGCATTTTCCCTGCTAGGCTATAGTTTACAGCATTGTTTTAATATACCCACCATATCCAAAAAACAGAAACAACAAAAGTTTAGTAACTCATAGCAGGCAATCAAAATTGACTTTACTGAAGCCAGATAAGTACAAGACAGATTTTGATCGGTTTGCTTTGAATACTGCACTTTGCTGTTAGCTTTTACTGTTCGTTCAATATGATGTGATCATTATAAATATACACTCACTGGTCACTATATTATGTACACCTGTTCAGTTGCTTGGTAACACAAATTGCTAATCAGCCAATCACATGGCAGCAACTGAATGCATTTAGGCATCTAGACCAGCCTTTCTCAACCAGGGTGCCTTGAGGTTTCCTCAGGGGTGCCTTGAGGTTTCTTAAGGGGTGCCTTGGCAAAATGTCTAAAAATTGCCCAAAACTTGTATACAAGCCAGCGGGTGGAACAAGTCTGCCATTTTGTTACACAACGCTACAGGATTTAATTGTGCACCATTACGACCTTCTAGCCGCTAGCATCCTGACAACCAATGACATCATCAGTTGGATAAGGAGGATGTCAGTTGCCTGCAGAGCATCCTAGTTTGACCATCCCCTGTCTCTCTCCATAAATGCTGGGGTCACATTAGCTCAGTGATGGAAAAAAACAGAGGGAGAGAAGAGAAATATTGGAATACTAGTCAGTAGCAGTGTGCAAAAGTGTATTTGCTTTGGAAGATTAAATCACCTATATGGGTGTCCTACATGTGTTGCTGCATTATATAAAACTATTAGAATAGCTTTTCACATTTTAGAATGGGGTGTCTCAAGACTGTCCATAATTTTAAAGGGTGCATCGGGACTGCCCATAATTTTAAAGGGTGCCTTAACTGAAAAAGGTTGAGAAACACTGATCTAGACATTGTGAAGACGATTTACTGAAGTTCAAAATGAGTATCAGAATAGGGAAGAACAGGGGATTTAAGTGACTTTGAACATGGCATGGCTGTTGGTGCCAGACAGGCTGGTCTGAGTATTTCAAAAACTGCTGATTGACTTGGATTTTAAGGCACGACTATCTTTAGGGAAATTGAGACTCATCAGACCAGGCAACGTTTTTCCAATCTTCTATTGCACAGGCTCACCATTCTTTGGTGAGCCTGTGCAAAATGTAGCCTCTGTTTACTGTTCTTAGCTGACAGGAGTGTCACACGGTGTAGTCTTCTGCTGCTGTAGCCCATCTGCTTCAAGGTTCGATGTGTTCTGTGTTCAGAGATGGTTTCTACATACTTGGTTGTAACAAATGGTTATTTGAGTTACTGTTGCCTTTCCATCATCTATAAACCAGTCTGCCCATTTTCTTCTGACCTCTGACATCAACAAAGCATTTTTTTTGTCCACACATCTGCCGCTCACTGGATATTTTCTCTTTTTTGGACCATTCTTTGTAAACCCTACTGGGATTTGAGCGTGAATATCCCAGTATATCAGCAGTTTTTGAAACACTCTGGCACTAGCAACCATGCCATGTTCAAAGTCACTTAAATCCCCTTTCTTCCCCATTCTGATGCTTGATTTGTACTTCAGCAAGTTGTCTTCACCACGTATAAATGCCTAAATGCATGGAGTTGCTGCCATGCGATTGGCTGATTAGCAATTTTTGTTACCAAGAAATTGAACAGACGTGCCTAATAAAGTGGTCGGTGAGTGTATATATAATGGTATCCTTTTTATAAAATGGGAGATTTGACTGGTTCTAAACTTTATGCTAACTCTAAATTATCAGAAAAATGGCTGGTGACTGCATGTGATTGTTCCATGTCCACAGCACACATGTACACTATCCTTGCTGCTGTGTTGGCTTTCCTTTTGTCACAAGTGACCCCTGGTCACCAGAAAATCTATTACTGAAAACCATATATAATAAAAAAGATTGTACAATGGCAACATATGAAGAATGCTGACCAACTTGAGATTCACATATTATGGGCAAACTGACACAAATTAATTTACATACATGACAGCCAAATCATTTACCTCCACACGTAGGCATTATTCTAGTACACAATACCCCCAGAATATTCTAAAAAAAAGTAAAAATAAATACATTTTCTACAACGCACATATATGAAGAGGCTGAGAACACACGTTTTCAGTTTAAACACTAATATAAAAAAATGTTAAAAAAATCACTAGAGAATAAATACTGTAATTGTTACAAAAGCCATTTTGTTTAATATTACAAATGATTTTTCTGTTGGATAAGTATGGACAATTAGGTTACGTTTGCTTCCATGCAACCCTGGGGGCATTTTGTACCATTAGTGTACCATGCAACCTGGTCATGTGACTATAGCAGACCCCTCCACGTAGCACTCAGAAAGTAACTGGAAGTAATACTATGTCATGAATTTGGATACAGTTCTATTACCTAGTTCCCAAACGTACCCAAGCAGTAAGGAAATATTCATGATAGGAGTGTGTACAGACCATCTTGGAGCAACTGAGCAACAATCAACCAAAATTTAGCCTGGGTTCACCCCTTTCTGTTTTCATCATTTTTTTGTATGCGTCATCAATGTGCATTAATGCGTATATTCATGTGCTGCCATTGTCATCAATGGGCCCTGTAACACACCTTGATGCATCAACAGACCACATACTACAATGCACCACACAGATTTGAACTAGCACTCTTTAAAACAATGGCTGGCATGCAAAAATCTGTTATAACACATAGGCGAGGCTGAATCCTAAGACTTAATCACAATCAGTATTAAGCACACATCATCAAATTCCTTCTCTGTTATTTTAGAACAACTCCTAAATGGGCGCATGGACTTTTCTTTCCCCGGATCTGTAAGCAGTCTGACTCGCACAGGAGCTGTTGGCTACCAGCAGCTCAGTCTAACGTGCACCAAGATACATACAGGTTTGGCAGTACCAGTTCTCAGCACACAACTGTCATTTCAGGACATGGTAAGTAATATGTCATGCACAGGGCCTATGGTTTCCTTTTTGTCCTCTTCTTTCGCATTTACTTTATACACTTTTCATCTATTCTCCTCTCTAGTGCAACCTGTATATTGTACATGTTGTTGACTGAAGTCATTAGTGTCTTAATTCTTGACATCTATTGCATTCATTTACTCTTTTATTCAGGGCTCTGTCTGTCAAAGTGGAAAAAACAAGTGTATAAAGTGTATTTAAAATCAGAATAATGCAAAAAGATAAAACAGTGTATGAACCCTGGAATAGAGAATACAAGAGGTTTTACCCCAGAACTCAGATAATAGCTTTCATTTGCTAGTGATAAATAGCCAGTAAAGTAGAAGTAGCCATTTTTTATAGTGAATCTGTGCCTAAACTATGCATAAACATTTACATATTGTAAACAAGCAATACAAGTACTTTAAAACAAGTCTTCATTTACCTCTGTAGTTACAGGCATTGTGGAGAAATGAATCTTCAAAAAAGAAATGTAATCTCCAAACACGGAAAGGTTTCTTCACAGTAAGAGCTGTGAAAATGTGGAATAGACTCCCTCAAGAGTTGGTTCTGGCCAGCTCAGTGGATTGCTTCAAAAAAGGCCTGGATTCTTTCTTAGATACACAGAATATAACTGGATACTAACATTTATAGGTAAAGTTGATCCAGGGAATATCCAATTGCCTCTCGGGGGAACAGGAAGGAATTATTTTCCCTGCAGGAGCAAATTGCATCATGCTTTGCTGGGTCTTTTTTGCCTTCCTCTGGATCAACTGTGGGTATAGGATTATAACTTTTTTTTTTTTTTTTATGGTTGAACTGGATGGACAGCCAGACTAACTATGTAACAACACAAGCACACAAGTATTTCATATTCTATTATTTTCCATTAGAACAGAGGCTTGACAGCCTATCCGCATTCTGATCTAAGCCCATAGAAGGTGTTTCCAGGCCTTTACATATGGACTAAACCTGATTTTAGAGTCTACTTTGTAATCTTTGATAATATTTGAGAATGGATTAATTACACAGTATAAGCAGCTAGAGGAGTTCGGGAGGGCTTGCTTTTAAAGTGTTACTAAACCCGCAACAATAAAATCAGTCTGTATATGCAGTAAAGCATGCTTGTTATACTCACTGTGGAACCTAAGGGGCTAATGCTCTGCATTGTGTAAAAAGGCCGTTTGATCTTGTCTTCCTTGCCACTCCTCTTGTTCAAATATCCATGTATTATCTCCTGATAAGACAGACTGAACCTGTAGCTACACGCACATGCTCAGTTTAGTGTGTATTGCTAGAGAGGGGGTTTTTTTGTTTCTTGGGAGAGTGCATGTGATCAGCATAGGGCCAATCAGCACTGTCCAGACAGAGGTCAGGGGTTTTGCATCCGCCTCGAGCAGAAAGAAAACTCCTCCTACAAGCTTTAACCAGTGCTCTGCTGGACACTAATAGAAGTTACAAGACTGCTCTAACTGCTGATGAGAAAAGGTATTTAGAAGTTTATATTTACTAAAATAATTGCATTTCCATGTTCTGTATACTGTGGGAGACCGGATATAGTGAATGCAGGGGCCAGGGTTTAGTAACACTTTAAGCTTTATTAATGTGTGTTGAGAATACCCATTCCATTTAAAATAGAAAAGAAAGGCAAAACATTTGTGGATAGATATAAAAACATTATAAATACCTTGTTTTCTCATATATTTTTTTTAAAAAAGTGATCACATACCCTCCTTTCCTAGCTGAATAAGGGACCTACAGGAGGACAAATAGCAGAACACTGATCTTCCCAGTGATTGGCTGTGTGTGTGTGTGTGGGGGGGGGGGGTGTCAGCACAAGTCTGATTATTGGAGGAGAGCAGTGTGAGTTCTCAGCACAGCCAGAAAACTGACCACACTGTGCTCTTATGGCTAGTGTGGTCAGTTTTTAACAGGAAAGCAGAGGGACCAGCAAGATCACTAGGTATTTCACACAAAGGAAGCAGTAAAAAGAGGACAGGATACTTTTTCATACAAGTAAATGGTACAGCAGACACATATCAGGAATATAAAATGTTGGGCTTACATATTCTAGAAAGTGTATGTAAACCTGAAATGTATTTTTCAGTATGTTTGGCATTGTCTTACTGCAATTGTAACAAATAATTTTTGTGAATCATTTGCAAAGTTTATTACCTGAAGATCCTGTAAGTAACAGCAATTGCAGCTGCAGGCTGCCAACAGTAAGCCACTGCATCTTGATTTGCAGCATTTTTATTTTATTTTATTTATTTTAGGTACTTATATAGCGCCGTCAATTTACGCAGCACTTTTACATATATATTGTACATTCACATCAGTCATTGTTATCAGCCTGTTATGTGTTGGCCACTTGGCTGCCTATTAGATAATAGATAACAGGTAGGCAGCCCAATGGCCAACTAAAGGAGCGCAAATAGCAGGCTGACAACACTGCTGTTATAAACTTGCAAGGCAATGGATTAGCACTTTAGTGAAAGTTTTCAAAAATATAGTACAGCCATAGCTGAAAATAGAAGTACCCAAGCTCAAGTACCATACCATAATGCAATACAGGCAAAGAGGTATAATCCATATGAACCTCACAGAAGGTACAATGTAGTGACAAAATCAGGAAATAATAAGTGCTGGCATATACCATCTGAGCAGAAAAGTCTTCAAGGCACAAAATAGATGAAGGTAGAAGAAAGGAGATTGGGGGAGAGACAGTCAATCAGCGTCCATCTATGCAGACCATATTTTGACTGGGCAACCTCTGCTCATATATGTCAGTTGGTATAAGGGGAGTGCAGATCTAATAGCTGAGCGCCAATCCTTGTAGGAAGGTGGGGTGGAAAGTTTCCATTTAAGGAGAATTACCCTTCTGACATAGTATTGGCATTCAGTGCAGCAGTTTACCATGTTTTGAAAAGTAGAGAGACTCATAGATGCCTAAAAACAGAACAATGCGGTTCAGAGCCAGCGATAGTTTAAGTGCCATAGCCAATCTAAATGTACCTTGCATCCATTAATCAAGAATCAAGGGGCAGCTCCACACCATAAAAAGATAAAAAATGTCGGTGGTATTTAAACACTTGTCACAGATCAAAGAGTGGGACTTATGCGATGCAACCTCCAAGGGGTAGAACAAATCCTGTGTACAAATTTCAATTGGATAAATATATCCTTCGCAGATATCATCAGTTTAGTATATTGAGCTATCGCATCTTCCCACTCCTCTTCAGAGAGGGTAGGGATATTAGTTGTCTACTCCTGGAACAATGGAGATGAATTTTTGTTCATTTATATTATGGAGAAGTATCGGGAATGGGGGTGCTGGAACAAGTTGGCGGGAAAACCCAAAACTCCCAGTTTGACAGGAATTATGGCAGAGGGATGTCATTGCTGCGGAATCCAAGATATATAGGAATCCAGAAGCTGATTTGACCCACCAGAAACCACTCATTACTTTTGAGTATAAAAAAAGAAATACTGGTTCCAATTAATTTTCCCTTTAGAAAATACTAAAAAAATTTCTCCTAGTCCTATGCTTGAGGTGATTGTAGCCGTATTAGTGCACTTGCGACAGAAACAGTTGAGTACTGTCCGTGATACTTTTTTTATTTGCACTAACATACAATTCAGGACAAGCTTTCGGGGTATGTCCAAGCACTACTACTTCACAAAGTTTTAGCAGAATGTTAAAAGAAACAATCTGTGAGGGAAAAAAAACTAAAAAACACACACAAATGTACACAGCAATAATTATAAACTAGGATTAGACTGGAGATAAGACAAAACAAAGACTGGGGGGGTGTTTGTATGACAGTCACAGAGGGGGTCGTAAAACTGTTGGATAAGGAGTGAGGAATCCTATGTCTAAAATAAAGTCATTATCTTTTGTATCAAATAGAAATATCATTCTTAGTTCAAAAGTATTCCTTTCCTGAATAGTTTTGAAATTCCCTTTAAGAACTATGATATTGAGGTCTTCCATAGTGTGGTCAGGTTGTGAGAAATGGTGTCCCACAGGTGTGCAGAAGTCATCTTCTTTATGTTTCTTAATGGTATGTCTGTGCAAATTCATCCTTGTTCCCAACTTCTGTCCTGTTTCGCCAACGTAAGATCCTTTGCTACATTTTTTGCACAGGATAAAGTACACAACATTACTGGAGGTGCAGCTGTATAATCCGGGGATCTTTACAACCCATCATAACCGAGGATGAAAGAAATATTCCAGCAACCCCCCAATACTGGCTTTCAGACAACCCCCCAACCTCAGAAATAAACTAAATCAGTAGGAAACTTCCTTCTGATCAAGATGTCACAAATAATGGATGCAAACCCTGCAATAAAAAACTCTGCAAATTGTGCAACCAACTCAATCCATCAAAAAAGTGTCAAACACTCAAAAGGGATCTTCAGTATCACCGGATCATACAGCTGCATCTCCAGTAATGTTGTATACCTTATCCACTACAAAAAATGTAGCAAAGGATCTTATGTTGGCGAAACAGGACAGAAGTTGCGAACAAGGTTAAATTTTCACAGACATACCATCAAAGAACATAAGGAAGATTACTTCTGCACACCTGTGGGACCCCATTTCTCACAACTGGACCTCAATATCATGGTGCTTAAAGGGAATTTCAAAACTATTCAGGAAAGGAATACTTTTGAACTAAGAATGATATTTCCATTTGATACAAAAGATAACCTTAATTTAGACATGGGATTCCACACTCATTATCCAACAGTTTTACAACCCTCTCTGTGACTGTCATCCCAAACCCCTCCTTTCCCATCTTTGCTTTTGCTCTGTCTTATCTCCAGTCTAATCCTAGTTTTATAACCATTGCTATGTAGTGTGTACATTTGTTTGTGTGCATTTTTTTGTTTTTTTTTTACATTCTGCAAAAACGTTGTGAAGTAGTAGTGCTTGGACCTTGAAGAAGGGGACATACCCCAAAAGCTTGTCCTGAAAATTGTATGTTAGTGCAAATAAAACAAGTGTCATGGACAGTACTCAATTGTTTCTAGTCCTATGCAAATCAGAATCTGAAATTTTTACTTGTATTGCATATCCACTATGTCTTTTGCTCTGCATCCTTACTGTC